CATGGTTGGTAAACATGAGTGATCTAGCTACCTCAAGTAAGTGTTTGTTTTTCCTTTCGGCTACCCCATTTTGTTGAGGGGTGTCAACACAAGAACTCACATGGATAATTCCTTGTTCCAAGAGATAGGAACCCAAAACTGATGTAAAGTATTCCCTGCCATTATCGGTCTTAAGAACCTGAATTTTGCTTTTGAATTGGGTGTGAATCATAGAATAAAAGGACTTGAAGATTTCCCCTGTTTCAGATTTTTCTTTCATTAAAAATGTCCAAGCGGTTCAAGTATGATCATCTATGAAAGATATGAACCAACGAGCCCCATTAATATTTTTCACTCGTGAGGGTCCCCAAATGTCACTGTGAATTATGGAGAATGGATGTGAAGGCTTATATTGAATACTAGGATAGACATGCCGAGTGTGCTTTGCAAGTTGACATATTTCACAATGAAAAAACTTGGAATTTTTATTGATGAATAAATGAGGGAACAATTTTTCAAGGTACACAAAATTTGGATGACCAAGGCGAAAGTGCCATAACATAACTTGATTCTCATTTGAAACAGAAACAGAATTGGAAACAGACTCAAAAAAACAACTTGAATGAACTTGTCCATGTGGAGGAGGGTTCCGTTTGAGCAAGTAGAGACCACCACACATTTCAGCACTGCCAATCACCTTCCCCGAATCCGTTGCCTGAAATTCACAAAGATTTGGATAGAATTTAGTCACACAGTTCAAGTCACGGGTGAGTTTACTAATAGAAATCAGATTGCAATCTAATTTTGGAACATAAAGGACAGATGAGAGAAGGAGATCCTTTGTCAATTTGATGGATCCGATTCTTGCCACGTTTGAATGTGATCCATCGGCTATTCATTTTATTGATGAATAAATGAGGGAACAATTTTTCAAGGTACACAAAATTTGGATGACCAAGGCGAAAGTGCCATAACATAACTTGATTCTTATTTGACACAAAAACAGAATTGGAAATAGACTCAGAAAAACAACTTGAATGAACTTGTCCATGTGGAGGAGGATTCCCTTTGAGCAAGTAGAGACCACCACACATTTCAGCACTGCCAATCACCTTCCCCGAATCCGCTGCCTGAAATTCACAAAGATTTGGATAGAATTTAGTCACACAGTTCAAATCACGGGTGAGTTTACTAATAGAAATCAGATTGCAATCTAATTTTGGAACATAAAGGACAAATGAGAGAAGGAGATCCTTTGTCAATTTTATGGATCCGATTCCTGCCACGTTTGAATGTGATCCATCGGCTATTCGTACTGTGCTAGGATAAATGAGGGAACAATTTTTCAAGGTACACAAAATTTGGATGACCAAGGCGAAAGTGCCATAACATAACTTGATTCTCATTTGACACAGAAACAGAATTGGAAATAGACTCAGAAAAACAACTTGAATGAACTTGTCCATGAGGAGGAGGATTCCCTTTGTGGGTGATGTGGACTGAGAAGGACCTGATACCTGTCCGAGTAGCTTCTGCAGTACCTCAATCTGCTCCCTGGTGAACGTACTGATTTCAGGAGTGGTGCTGGGGTTGTCTGAAGTGGTGACAGCATTTGTGCGGCTATCCCGGTCCTGGCGAGCACGGTTAGGCTTCCAATCAGCGGGCTTCCCATGTATTTTCTAGCAATTTTCTCTGGTGTGGCCAGGCTTCTTGCAATGGTCGCACCATGGTCTTCCTCTTCTTTGCCTGTTATCCTGAGATGAGTTGTGTGTGTATAAGGCCGAACCTTCAGCAACCGGGGTGCTCATATTTTCTGTCATCATTAGTTTCTTCCTGCTTTCTTCTCTTCTGACTTCAGCAAATGCCTCTCGGATGGAAGGCAAAGGCCTGCTTCCCATGATTCTCCCCCTTACTTCGTCCAGATCCTTGTTGAGACCAAGGAGAAATTTGAATGTTCTCTTTTGATCAACAATCTTTTTGTATAAAGCTGCATCATCAGGACATTTCCAGGGATATATCTCAAACATATCAAGGTGCTGCCAGTACCGGGTTATTGTGTTGAAATACTGAGTGATTGTCATCTCCCCTTGTCGCATATCATGAAGTCGAGTTTCAATTTCAAAAAGTTCTGAGGTATTTTCAGAACTGGAGTAGGTTTCACGTGCCGCATCCCAAATTTCCTTGGCTGTTTTGTAGAGAAGGAAATTCTCTCCAACTTCGGTGGTCATGGAGTTTATTAGCCATGACATAACCATGTGATTTTCTGTTTTCCACGTCCGATACTTGGGATCTGTTGCCGCTGGAACAGGGACCTCACTGGTGAGATACTCATCTTTTCCTCTGCCAGATACATATATGAGGACGGATTGTGACCACTGAAGGAAATTGTGGCCACTGAGTTTGTGACTGGTAATAGGGAGAGGTGAGTTTTCGATGATATTGGCTGAGGGATTATCAGCGTTGATGGCTGGAGAATTTTGCTCGGGTCTTGATTGGACTTCCGAGGAACTGGTTTGGGTATTCATGCTGTATTTGGTCATGATGAGAGATTGATGATAGGGTGGATTAGGGTTTTGAATTCGGTTCTGATACCATGAGGATTTTGGTGAAGAGAATTCTTATTAACCAAAGGAAATACAGCCCTAATATTTATACTTGAGTGGCCGGCATCCCAGTCCACTTATTCTAGGAAAGTAAACGGAGAATCCCATAAAATTAGGAATCTCAACAAACTAGGAAAGTAACTTAATTATGAATCAATTAAATCAATAACTGATCCTATTTATTAGGAAACTAAATCAGAAATCCTAATATACAAAATAACACTATCCTAATTTATATAATCTAATCGGCTCCTTTCTACAATTATTACTTTTTTCAACATCACTGTTCCGTTGGAAGTTGAAAAATCCTTTTTTTTTTTTTTTTTAGATAGTTGAGATGTTGCCCTGAATGAATGAAGTCGTAACTTCTTATGCATATTTTGGGTGGTCTTGGACCTCTCGATGTTTTGTTGGTATAGGCATACAACTGCTATGTTGAGGCTCTTTGTAAACAACCAAGTTCAATGATTACATGGTCAAATCTTGCATGCGCGTTTGGGGTATATGTTCGTCGTATTTATGTACCGTAATAATATTGACTGACATGACTATTGAATTTTATGCTGGAGAATTTCGACACACTGCAATATTGCTTTATTATCTTTTATACAATATAGAATCTTTACAAAATGATTGCTTCCTATTACAACATATGCTGATTTTCAGGAAGTTGTAAAGCTTAAACCAACATTTTCTGATGTGTACCTAAACCTTGGAAATGTTTGCAAGTTAAGCGTCAAGAGGCAATTATGCCGTGGCCTATGGTGAGGCTATTCTGTTTCTATGCGGTATGGCTTTTCAACTAGCCTGCATTTGTGCTGACTTACCTTTTCATTTGATGTGGCTATAGGATCTTAAGCTGTGGTAATTCTCTTGCATGGCTTTTCATTTGTTCTAGGAGAAAGAAGCATTTAATGTTTGATTGTGGCTGAAAGCATGTCCTTTCTGGTTGGAAAAATAAACTGTTTGGACTCAAATGGATTTGTTAGATTCAGAATGCTTGATTATATTTATTCCAGTTCAGTCTACTTGTATCTTTCCAATTTGTGTTATTAATCATTCCTTGATTGCTATATTCGTTGGTGTTTGGTCTAAGCTTCACATTACTGTTCTTTATAATAGTCACAATCCTCTGTAAGGCATGGCTGTGACTTCGCTACTGATTTCAAATTCTAATAAAATTTGTTTTGCAGGAAATTTAGCTAGTATTTATTACGAGCAAGGCATCTGGGACTGGCAATTCGCAACTATAAGCGAGCAATTGCTTTTGCTTCGGGATTTTTGGAGGCATATAATAATTTGGTGTGTCCTCTTATATAAATTTGTATAATATAATGCAAGATATTTGTATTAGTGATATGAGTCTTTTCGCCTAATAACATCTTGGTGTTTCCCTTCAATAAGGCTAATGCATTGAAAGATGCTGGAAAAGCTAATGAAGTAGTGCAATGCTATTGTATAGGTTCTTCAATTTTATGCTATGCACTTTCATTGTTTGCCACTTTGCCTTTTGTGTTATTTCCTATTTACTGATGATGTTTATACTTAGTTTTTCCTGAAGCAATGTCTTGCTTTGCAACCAAGCCAGCCTCAAGCACTTACTTACCTTGGGAATATATACATGGAATGGTATCAATTATAGATTTATGTTTCTTATTGTTTTGATCTTTTATCAACATAGCCTATTATTCTGGTAACTATTATAGATTTATCTTGCTGATTGTTTTGATATTTTGTCAACATAGCATATTATTTTGCTGTCAGATGTATATTACCATCTCCCTTATGAAAATCCTTCTTTTGTTTTGTATTTTTCTATGTAGGAACAAAACAAGTGCTGCTGCCACATGTTTCAAAACAACGTTGTCTGTTACAACTGGACTTTTTGCCCCTTTTAACAATTTGGTCATTATATACAAGCAGCAAATATTGTCATCTCTGTCCCTCAGTCACTCTCTCGTTCTTGCCTTCTTGCTCTGAAAAATGATTAAAATTCTAGTTTACTGTTATTTTAATTTCTCTAAACGTGTGAGACGTGGTTCTGCTTTCTATAAAGCAGTCATCTTGATTTGTTTCCTTCCTTGCTCCATTCCTTATTGCAAGCAGTGGCTTTACTTTCATTTTTCCCTTTTGAATGGCAGGGCAACTATTCTGATGCTATATCTTGCTATAAAATACATATCCTCGTTAATCTGAATGGTTATACTAAGGTTCATATTACTTGGCTTAGCAAGTGAAGTAGTGTTAAAGACCTTTTGAACTTTAAATATCTAGATTTCTTATGACTTTTGTTAATGTTTCAGTTTGAGTTTCTTTCACATTAGACAACACTTACTCCGCCTTGTTTTACTTCTACTTGTGAATGCTGCTGTTTCTACCTTTTGCTAATTAGTTTAGAGAGGCACCTGGGTTTACTCTAACTCTTGGCACATTATTTTCCTTTTCACTTGTTATTTGAGACTAAAATTTGTAAGGTTTGACTTTTTCTTTATAATGCAGAGGGCAAGAAATATAATATTTGCTATGCAGCCTGCTCCAATACAGATTTCCTACATGGTATTTCCTGCAACCATAGGGGCAGATTACATACATTATTTGGTTACTGATTTAGGTTGGGGGACTTGAATCCTTTGACCATTCCTAAATTTTGTTTCTCCCGTTTGATATCTGACTCTCACATCTATATTGGCAGTTTGTGTGACCTTTTCGACTCTCATATTTACTCTGAAAAGATTGTTCATCTTTGATAAGAACCAAGATATAGAAGAAACTAAACTGATTTTGTATTGAAGAAGTAAAACAGAAATAATGGAATAAAAGATAGTTTTAACGCTTTCAAGAGGTTTTGATCTCTCCCTAGAGACTTAATTTCACTTCAATTCACTAATTCCCTACTGACTCACTATTCTAACACTATTTTATACTAATTCTCACATCACATAAATCCAACTAACTAAACCACTAACCTCTTAATATATTGATAACTAATTACTAACATAACTAGCATAATCCTATCAATTACTCACTATTACTTTGTAAATGATTACAAGCAGGTATGCTCTGTACAATTTGTCTCATATTTCTGTATATTATTTTTTTGTTTTATCTCACAGCTTCTTCATGTTTCTTTTCAGAAAAATCTTGATGTGTTGGACCCAAGCTGCCAACCCAAAAGATCCACTTATGGTTTACCAGAGGACAAATTTATTTTTGTATCTTCCAACCAGCTTCACAAGACGGATCTTGATATTTTCAGTACATGGTTAGTTTAGAGTCTTTGATGTTATCTGACAGTTGAGTGAAATAAGAGCGAGAAAATAGTCATCTATGTTTCATTTGATGCAGCTGCAATACCTTAAACGAGTACCAAACAGATGCTCTTTGGCTTCTCAGATTCCAGCTGCTGGCGAGATGAGACTCCACAATTGTACTGGATTCTTTCAAATTTCTTTTGAAAAATGGTTTACCTCGATAAAAATTGAAATATACTTTGCAATGAGTTGTCAATTTCAGAATATTAATTTTGTTCATCGATAATTAGTAAATCCTCGATAATTAGTAAATCCTTCTGCTATTAATATTCCAGATGCAGCTCAAACGGTGGCACAACCAGATTAGATAACTTTTACAGATGCTGCTATGAAGGATGAACATATCAGCCGTAGTGTTTTAGCAGATTTATTCCATAACACTTAAGCATACTAACAAAAGCCTAGTTTTCATTTTTGGAAATGTATTCTTTTCTTTTTCTTTCAAATGTTTGTCATGATAATGCAATATGATTGGTAACTTTTTTTGGCTAAGGGATATGATGTGGTGCTTAGATGTTATGATGATGGACAAGAAGGTATTGGTCTTTTCCTATGAGGTAATCTCTCTCTCTCTCTCTCTCTCTCTCTCTGTAATTGAAAGAAAACTAATAAATGCAGAGGAAGTTTTTATTTTAATGTTTAAGATGTGATAAACTTCTTTCAAGCTTTTTTTTTATTTTTTTTTATTTTGACACGGGAGAAATTTCAGTTTGATGGAGGATCATGATGGAAAGAAGGAAGTGCTGGGGGAAAAGTGTACTATTTTCCGTTCTCTTTTTGTCCTTTCTTTTTCTTAAGTGTATATATGATTGTTCGTTATTTGGGATCTGAGAAAAAAAGAGAATGTTGTTTTAGTTTCCTTGTGCATTCTTTCGGAGACCAATCCTAGTTTCTTTCAGCATGTTTTCCCATCTAAAGAGACTTTTGTTTTATTTTTTACATTTTTTTGGCTTTTTAAGTGTTTGGTATCGGAGACTAATTTGCATAAAAGGTGTTGACAAATTTGCATACTTTCCCTTGTTTCACAACTTTCGTATATCCAAAATGGATTGATGTAGATGTTCTTTACAATATAAAGTTATTTGCATGTTATAAATGGACTTATATGGATGTTTTCATTATGGGTTATTGAATTTTTGATTTTTTGTGAATTTCTAGAGAGTTAGTTTTTAATATTACAAGATATCATAGCCAGTTTAATGACTTCTCAGCTAGGTTCTATTGATGTAGTGTCATATTTTGCTCCTTTATAATCCTTGAAAGAAAATTTGATCGTAGCAGAAGTTAAAAGGAAGGCAAAGTTAGGGAGAAGCTGCCAGTCCAACATTGTATAAGGTACACTTGGCGGATTTGGTGAAAATCAAATTATGTGGTTGTAGACTTGTAGTATTTCTGTACTATTGTATATGTATTAACTGCATGGTTTAAGTGTTATTAATTTCTTTTATCTATTAAATTATACTTTTGGATGTTGTCTCTCTCTCTCAATTTTGCTTCTCTTCTTTGTCACAGATTTTGATAAGCTTCTTTTATGTTGTGATAAATGCATGTTCTGTAGTTGGTGGGAACGAGATAAAATTTATGATGATTGATGGTTGTGGAAAAAGTCAGCTAAACAAGTTTCTCTCTTATTCCTTATTGCATCTTATATGAGTTTGAACCAATTGTGCATATTATTGAGTTAATGTGCCTTCTCTAGATTTATTGATCCCCAACGGTTCTTCCTAAAGCCAACCAAAAGAAAAGGGGAAAAAAAAAGGAAAAAAAAGGAAAAGAAAAAACAAGACAAAAAAAAAAAAAGGAAGGGCAATGATACATAATTTTATTATTGTTCATGTCACGAGTTATATTTGCTATCCATACAAATAGTGGAAGTTGAGAACAAAAAAAGAGTGATTGGGGTACTTAAATATTGAGTTTGGATTACATGGAATTCCCTTGGAACCCGTATCTTTCTTTCACTTCGGCTTTGTTTACTCTTTCTGTACAAAATAGGAAGTTTGGAAATTGCAATAATTTGTCATTCAATGTGCAGTCTTTATCTTTATTTAACAGTCAAGTTTGACATTCTTATCTCATCATTTATTATGGGAAATTTCCTTAGCTTTCATTTTTGAAGCCAATACAAAATGAAAGAATGATAGAAAGAAAAAGAAAGAAAAAAAATGAAGCGGGGTGGGTGGGGAAGAGAGAGTATAAATTAGAAAGAGCAAAAGAGAGAGGAAAAAACGAATAGCGATGCTGGTTATGTTCAATTGGATATTGATGATCTTTCTCTTCCTGTAAGTGTTTGTAATTTTACTAGCAATTATTATTTGTGTTAGAAAAACAAGGAAAAACGTGTGATATGATATGTGAAGTTATTCTATTTCCTGATCCTAAGATTAGGAAGGTTCCGTTCTTTATTTTTTCCTAGTTTAGTCTCTGTAGTTGTAAATATATAGATGTGTAATATGTAATACTTTTGATAATTTGACAGACTTTTTGAGACATTTTGTCCATTTGTTGTCTTTCTATGTCTAAAACAATTAGTCTGTTTTTTTTTTTCCCCTTAAACAATTAGTCTGATTTAGTGATATTTCAATCTTTGTAAATCATAGGAAATAGTAGAAGGGTTTTAGGATGTTGCCATATGAATACCAATCCCTTGCGGAGGATGAAGGTTAAGACCAAGTTGCTTCAAGCTATTTGTGCCACATGATCATAACATAAGCTTAGACCAGAATGAAAATGAGCAATTTTTTCATACATGCTTGTTACCGTGTTAGTTGAAGTACTTCAAGTTCGATATATGTTTTCATTGAACTCATACAATGTAACTGTTCTTTAAGAGCCATTTCTTTCCTTAGGTTGCACTTACTAATATGTTTTCTCTTTGTATGACTCCGTCAAGTGGTGTATGTGACAAGAGGATCAACTTGAATGTTTTATTTTGTATGACTCAAGCATAACAAAGGGGAAAAAAAGAATAAAGAGTAAGAAAAGAAATAAGAGAGGTAAGAAAAATAAAGAAAATCGTAAAGGAAAGGTGAAAAAAAGGGAAAAAATTATTTAACAAAGGAAAGACCCACTCCCTTTGCTTAGTACGAAGCTCAAGACAATAGATGTCTTATAACAAAATTATTTGACAGGTTGGTATATTTTTTCTCTGTTCTCCAAAAGATGTCTTTTAACAAAATTATTTGACAAGTTGGTATATTTTTTCTCTGTTCTCCAAACTTGTAGTTATCTGCAACGTTCATGCTTTCATAGAACAAATGGGTAAAGTATAAGTTTATTTATGGATTCAATAATTATATAGTAAGAACTTTTAGGTGGTGTTTGGTGTAAGGGTTCTGAACCCTGAACCATGATTCTGGTTTAAAACTATTATTTGTTTACAAAAAGTAAAAAGTGGTTCTGATTTGACTCACTCAGAATCAGTGTTTGATTAGGATGGTTTTGATTTAAGATTTGAACTCTGATGTGATGTTTCAAACCATGAATCACCCCTGATTCTAAAACCACCCCCCTTGATTTTGGGTGGTTCAAACCCCTGATTCTGGTTCTGGTTTCAAAACCATGATTTATACTCAAAATTATAAATCATGGTTCTGGTTCCAAAATCAAAACTAAAATCACCCTGGTTTGAGTCCTCATACCAAACGAAGCCTTAGCCTTTAGGATTTTGGAAAGAAACAAATGCTAGTCTAGTAGTGGCTGTCACTAAAAAAGCTTCATAACGTTGTTAAGATCTGATTGCTAGCCTTCCAATTGCGTTATTATTATTATTTTGTTTCCATGAGCATACAACATATCATAAGGACTGCTCTATAACATATCATAAGGACTGCTCTTGATTTACCTTTCATTAACCAGGTTCCAATCCACCTGCTTCGTACTAATTTCTAATGTGTTTTCTCTTCTTAATGGTCAAACAAGTAGGCGAATAAAGAATGTTGCTTTGATGGTGTCCATAACAGACAAAAAAAATGTGGTCCTGCATCTCCCGCAAGTTTTATGAGTTTTGCTTTGATGGTGTACATAACTGATAAAAAAATAAGGCCTTGCATCTTCTGTAAGTTTTCTGAGTTTGCAGCCTTCATGTTTTATCTTGTTATTTCTAGAAGAATTACTTATCTTTTCTCAGGAAGTTGGCAAATCAAGGGAGCCAAACTTAAAGAGTATGGTTAACTCTCTTCCTCTAGGTGGCAGCTGGTAATGTGATTTGCTACTTACAAGTTAGGTATGTGGATTGTTACAGAATCCAACTTGAGCCTAGTATGAACTCTTTAAAAGAATGTAGACAACTTGAGCCTTTTGTTAAGTGCTTGAAATTTTTTAGTCACATGTTTTCCTGCTGACTTTTTGTTGAATTATAGGACAAGGTGGGAGAGTTTCAGGGGAGGGTGCTATCATAGGAACCATTCCTCAAAAATTACATATAGCTAATATCTGAATACAAAGAGAGGGATAGGAAGCCTCCGTTGTCATATTTTTGGCAAAATTGTTTTGCTTACTATTTCTAGAAGCAATCCGAGTTGGGTGAGTTGTCTCTGTCAAAACTAAAAATGGCAAGTTTTATCTCATCTTCACCAAAAGGCCTCTCAATCTCTAATTGGTTTTCCAACACTACATTTTCATCCTTTCCCAATCTTATGATGGCATTCTTGTTTCTTCTGTTGCTAACTAACTTGTGGAATAACTTAGGCCTCATTCACTTCGTAGATTCGAGTTTTTAATTCGAGCTGAGATATGACATTTTCTGAGAGCTTTTCACTGTAGCAGAAAAAATGGATGTGACATTTTCTGAGAGCTTTTTATTGTAGAAATCTAAAACTGAAAACTCAAATCGGTGAAATGAACGAGGCCTTAGAGTGTGTACTTTTCACAACTCATATCATCACTCAAACTTTATTATGTGAGAGAAAACACTGTAACAACAAAGTTGAATTTAAATTTTTGTGAGAAAAACATTATAACAAACACAACAAATTATAAATACCCCCATGATAATTTATTGTGGTAAAGATAATTTCTCTACCTAACTCCTGATTAGCTTGACTGACTTAGTGTCAGAGTGCCTTTCACTGGCACCACACTTGTGCACTCACTCCGAGGCTTT